TGTCCACCGCAGGAAATCGAACCCCGGATTTTAACGTTGTAAATCTGCAAACGTACCGCTGTCCCACTGGGAGACGTAGCATTATACTAGATAATGCGCAATGTGCGTATTTTGCACGGTATTCCCGATTCTTGTACATTTAAATGCAGTTATTAGATGCAGTATTTTACTTTGAATTACAGTTGTTATGAGTTAGATGACAACCATTTCACCCCATCTTGGAGATCCAATTTGTTTAATCTTATAGGTAAAACATACTCCAACAATAACGTGTATTTTTCAGTGTTTAAAAAGGGTGTATGTCCAACCTTAGTTTTAACTATAAATGAAATTTATAATAAAACTGGGTTTATTCCAAAACCTTTGGCTTTTTAATAACATTCATTTCATTTGGTGAAAATCATATTCAAAGTGAAGGTGACCGTTTTACCACACCTTCTATATGATAATTCCAGGTAGAGAAAGCGTTTATGGATGCTACGGTTGTTATTTTCCTGTATGAATTTTCGGGAATCCTTATGAAAACGTATTAAAAATAGCCGATGTTACAATAAATCTCAAAAGACACATACATACAAGCCACCCAGTGGCACAGCAGTATATCTGCGAACTTACAACGCTAGAAACTGGGTTTCGATACCTGTGGAGTGCAGAGCACAGATAGTCCATTGTGTAGCTTTGTGCTTAACTACAAATATTCGTACAAACAGTGGCAATAAATCTGGGTATAATTTTGATAAATTTTTTCTTCTAAAGATTAAAAATATTTTTTTTCTATTATTATTATGAATCTATTAGAACTTTGATAATTTTAAAACAAAAAATATGACTTCACAAGTTAAGGTTATTTTTTAAACTGCATTACAAACAGAAAATATCTTAGGGCCTTCAAGTAAAAAAAAAATAGATGAACATTAAATGTCATTTCGTAATTGTCTACTATTTCTACAGGGATTGTTTGTTTCCATAAGGTATCGATATTTAATGGTAAAAAGTCGAAAAATCATTTAATCTAAATGTGAATTCTTGTTTGAGTATGTTCATTTCACAATTAATATATATTAATTTTTAAAATATTTCAATGTAGTTTCGTGGGAACAACATTTAAAACTCCCAAGACTCGTATATACCCTTTACTATGAAGGGAGTGTGTTTTTTGTTTATAAAATACCTTAAATTCTTAAGCCTTTTAGTATTAAGGATTCACAGATGATAGTTGTGCTCGCCTGAAGTTTGCGACCGAGACACGTTCGGTTTTTGAAGATAAATAACATTTTACATGGTGACAGATTTGGAAATCATTTTTTAGTCACTGAGCAAAAGTGGAAAATTTGGTTGCTTTGTATATTTAGTCGGGCTCCAACCCCTTTTTTTAACATACATATGTTTAAGAAAATTTGGATTAGTTTGGAATGCTTTTCAAATGTTGTGTAGTTATAAATACGTAAACGGTTTTCCATGAAACTGAATAAGTTTTTTTTTTAAATTAAGAAGTTTATAAAGTATAATTTAAGCGAAGTAAGGGTTAGAAAATTGTATAGCTGAAATAAAGTAGTTTTTCCAAGTTCCTAGGTTACAGCTTGGTAAATCTTAATTAGACATGAAGTCGGATTACAGAGGTTGAACCATTCACAAGACTTAACATAAAAAAAACAAAACCCGATAGGTTTTAAATGCAAAACCATAATAAAAAAATTAGAAAACGGTATATAGGCTTCCGATTAACGAGCCTGAATAAGGAAATGATAAACGGATAACTAATTTTCTCTCTTTCCAATTTCTTACAAAAATGTATTCTCAGATTTTCGGTAAAACGTACTACCACGTGTAAGCCTTTCGGATTTATTCAACAAAAATGTAAATATTTCACTTCTTATACATGTATGTTTTATTCTTTGTGTCACGTCTTTAATTGATATTCTAAATTTCGTGTTTTTTTCTTTGTACTTGTTTAGAACGCAATGGTGAATATCGATGCAAAAGATATTTTATAGCCTTTACTTGTTTTGCACACGCAATATCTCCGACATTGTACATTTTTACTAAAAATAATCGAATTTGTGCTTAAATACTTGTTTCAGTTGGTTTGAAGTTTTTAGGTTATTTTATAGCTGTATTTAAATACTTTCGTAGGAAAAAATTAACTTTTTTCGTGTGTTGTTAAGTGCAAAGCTACACAACACACTATCTGTACTTTGCCCACTTCAGGTATCGAAACCTTATTTTGAACATAGTAAACACTCAGGCCTTCCTTTGAAACACTAGTGTAGGCTTTATTAAAATAGTCTTGCTTTACTTTATTATTTCTAGCATATTGCGATTATTCTTTTCTTATATAAATTAACTTAGTTTCCTGCCGTTAGATGGCAGTGTGGTTAGTGAATAAAATATTATTTACGAAAAGCAAACTTAAGTATTTCCTATCTGTATATCATACATTAAACATTGGGTTTATCCATATCGTACCAAATTACTTATGGTAAGTTTGGAATAAAAGTTAATCTAACATTGGGATAAATATTATATCAGTGATGAATGAGTTTTGGATACGAATGAGGTAATAAGTTTACCCGTAACACTAATATTAGTACAACTTGTTTAAACAGAAACAAGTCACGCCTTTCACGAATAAAATATTCCAGGTGGGAAAACAAAATAAAGCATCACAGAAAATCCAACGTAATTGGAATTGATGTAAAGTTATAGATCTCTTAGTTGCAACTAAAGTGGTCGTGTTTGAAATACGCTTACTTAAAAACGAGTTTGTGAAAACAATATCGTTAAGATAAACTTCTATGTTTGGTGGGTTTCATTTAGTTATTAAATTATGCATTAACGTTATAATTTGGGTTTTCAGTAATTTTTTTAGTTTCTTACTATATTTCCAACTTTTATTTTGTTATTTTTCTAATAACATATTAAGGCTTAATTAGGTGTGTTTATACACTCTCTTCCACATGAACTGAAGGTGTATTACTTTACCAAATTTAAAATGTGTATTAATTTTTAAAATATTTCTGTGTAGTTTCGTGGGAACAACATTTAAAACTCCCAAGACTCACATACGTAATAATTGTGCAACACGTTATGAATGACTTTCATTGCGCTTAAACTTACAGTTTTTTGTTTTAATATCACTCCTCACCGATAGGGATCAGATGTTGCAACATACTGTGTAATTTTATGATATTGCCTGATGCAATTCAGTGTAAATAACTGACAAAAGAAAAATACATCTTTGTAAAACACAGAAGAAGTCCCGATATCAACGGTTAGTTTGGGTGTGTCTCACATGTTAGACTTGCAAGCAATTTGGTAGTTGTGTTATAAAAATGTTTAACAACCAATGGGATCTCCAACGGTAGTTTTAGTTATAATGATACTTTAAAACATTCACTGCATTTTATAACTAGTATTTAAAACAAAAGGATAGAAAATTCCATTGGAACTTTCTGTGAGTTCTTGCAGCATCCGATCTGTTCATAAAGTTGATCTTGATCTCTGAAACCTAAAGTCTAGGATTTATTGACTTTTACATTTTATTTTACGCCCTTAAAATATTTTAGTTAATATCATTCTCAGTGAAAAAAGAAAACACACACTTTTAAAGCTAAATAATCATATTTATTTTTATTTAATTTCACATTGATAATAAATTGCTAACATTAAGTTTAACATTTCTGCTTTGGCTAACTTAGAGATAAAAATGAAAACTCAATATACAAAATGCCGTAAGAAACAAACAACTAATCCTTACGTTCGTCTTGGACCAATCCTCAAACCAAATGATACTCAGATCCCTAAAGTGGTCTAATCTAGTGAAACTGATCCCACAGTGAATAAAAGTGGTACTGACGTAAAATATGAAAGTTAATAAAACTTTTAAATAAAAAATTATTTTCATTTAATTGAAAATAGTATCATTTTTTTTCTTCTCAGCTACAACGACGAAAAACTATCTTTACCGTTACGGTTTGTTTGTTTGAAGTTAAAGCGCCAAGCTATACAATGGGCTATCTGTGCTCTGCCCACCACGGGTATCGAAACCCGGTTTCTAGCGTTGTAAGTCCGCAGAAATACCGCTGTGCCACTAGGGGGGTGTACCGTTCCGGATTTTTTATTTAAAATTTTCGTACAACTATCACAGAGCCCCTGAAGCTTTGACGTGAACCTATCACATTGTTAGTGTCGTACGAAATTCGCACGGTTAAAGAAATACGAGGTCAAATCCCTAAAATTCAGGCACTCAGTTCTTTACTTAGTATTTTGTTACATCAACTAGTTTTGATGTTACTTATTTCAGTGCTAATTTAACACGTTAATAAACTAGGTATCCAACAGTCCCGTCTTTAACAAGAGTTATTACTAAGTTTGAAAAACGTTTTAATTTTCTCAGTCCTATTTTGTACATCTAGTTTTAAGGTTCAATTGAATATAACGTGTTTAGTCTTAAGCATAGCACGAGCGGTAGATCTATACCTTATTACGAGACTTTTAGATAGCGCAGACGAATTCACTGGTGACGTGATGTCTGACTGTATTAAACACACCTTGTATATTAACACAAGTAACAAACAGTAGTGTTAATGTTCTCTTCTTTTTTGCTAGACGTATTACAGCAGTTATTAAGTTACCCAACGTCTGTACTTTTTACTTAGTCCCATCATGTGTACGAACCGCTTGACCGGCTTCCACCCCCCATCTTAAACAATGGAATCGCTATGTTCATACGTACCGAATTGAGATCTTCGCGCATGTCGCAGTTCTCTTCTGCGTATATAGAGCAAATACGAGGATTAAGTATTTTTATTTTTACAATAAAATATTTTTATAAGTGTTTCTTCTTTTAATCCTTTTTGCATGTTTAGTATAAGTTTTTTTTTTAAACAAATCCACAACCTTCAGAAAAATCCAGTTTTGGATAATTCCGTTTATCCGGAACGTTAAAATAATTTCGTACTAAGTATCATATTAGAAGCGTCTACTTGAATGCATATACTAACAAATCCACACCCTTCAGAAATATATGCATTCAAGTAGACGCTTCTAATATGATACTTAGTACGAAATTATTTTAACGTTCCGTACAATCGATCAGTATTGACAGATAACAGCAGCACACTTAGTACAAGGTTTTAAAACACTTACTTTAGCATCTTCACCAAACATTAATATGGTGGAAAAAAAAACAATTAGAATACAACACGTTGTAATCAACTGACACAAACAGTAAACAAGAGCAATTACGATCATTTTGCCTAAAAATTTTACTTCCCTGTAAATCATTAGTGTCATCGCAAAAGATAGACAGAAAATCTTCGGGGATGCTAAAGCTAGCTCTATTTTATTTTGTCCTTTAATTTCAGCAAGTTTTCCGTAACCAAACAGCGATGAGAGACTTAATAACTCCCATCGCCGTGTCTCTCTCTCTGTCTCTTAATCACATCTGGGGAGACCGTTTTTCGATCATACGCCAGACCAAGTGCGGCCATGAAATCAATAAAAACTGTAGATACATTCAGCCTTGTTCCGAATTCACTTGTTGAGTAGTCCCATGGAAACGTATGATGGTAGTTATGGAAACCCTCTCCCATTGCGCTGACAATGACGTATTTGTTCTCTCTTGGGTTGATAGAGCGGTCGTAAGGTCTATTTCCCCACATGTGGGCTGCACTATTTACTAACCAAGTAACATTTAGGGTCCAACAGTATCGAAGGATACCAGCCACGTAGAAGGCGTTCCAGTAGGATTCCCCCCACGACCAAACTGGGACAACAGTAGGAATCACAAAGCACGAGAGAAAAACTATAGGGGTATAATATCTGCAAAGAGAGAAAGAAATTTTTTCTTATTTCAATATAACTGTAGGTTTAGAAACACAAAAAATATGTTTACAGATTTTAACACATTGTACTACAAACCTTTGAATTTTATTACCCCAAAACGAGTTAAAGATAACTATTGCCGAATAAAATATCCCATACCAAACCGTATATCTGAGCATATCAGCTCTCCTCAGTCTAACTGGAAAGGTGATGTTTTTAACCGCGGCATAACGGCTCAAAGAAAGGTTACGAGTTTTTTTTTTTATTCTTTTCTTTCGATTTCAAACTTTTAGCTCATACCTGCATCATATTTTTACCGATTTGATAAAATTGTTTGTAAAACTGAAAATTAAATAAATAGACAATGACAATATCATTTCTTAACAGGAAAATAATGAACTGATTAAATGGCTACTGAAGTTTAAGCGGACGTGCATGACCTAGTGATTAAGAACCAGGGTTCGATTCCTATTGGTGCAATATCACATTACGCACTTTAGGGCCATGGATGTATTATATGAGTAACTGTATCAAATCCCACTGTATTTCGGTCAAGAGTTGGCAGTAGGTGCTGCTGGCCAGCTGACCTCCTTATAGTCTCACAGTCAAAATTTGGGATGACAAAAAATTCAAATAAACAAAACTGAATTTTTAAGTTAGTTCAAGTTTGTTTTTTTAAGTAAAAAAAAATAAAGAATCTAAAATAAAATTTAAAAGCAAAAAAATGTTTTTTTGAAAGTACCTAATGCAGTATGATATTGAGTAAGTTTTCCTCACTTTAGAAAATTTTATTGAGGGGGAAGAGATTAAACTTAGTATATTAAAGCTATTTTCACTTTCAAGATGCTACACTAATACATTATAAAATCTGGTGGTCTTTTAACAGCCCTCTTACCAGATTCTAAGCCAAAGATAAGGCTTCATACAAGATATTCTTGTTGAAAACATAAGGAAAGTGTCTATAAAACAAGGCAGATAAAGAACACATTATACTCTTGTTGAAAACATAAGGAAAGTGTCTATAAAATAAGGCAGATAAAGAACACATTATACTCTTTTGAAAACATACGGAAAGTGTCTATAAAACAAGGCAGATAAAGAACACATTATACTCTTTTGAAAACATACGGAAATGTCTATAAAACAAGGCAGATAAAGAACACATTATACTCTTTTGAAAACATACGGAAATGTCTATAAAACAAGGCAGATAAAGAAC